GACATTAAATCAAGCTATGCCGTCTGCCATAAGATGTATTGTACACTCCTAAAAAGTGAGAGCAATAAAAACCACAGCCAGGGAGAGGTCACATACATCAGCGCGTGCACGTAAGTATATTATTAGTATTTACAGCTGGAGAAAGACACAAAATAATGAGAAAAAGAACATTTAAATTGGCATTGATAGTGACTACTGGCATCCCACTGAGGGTGTAATTCAGCCTTGGACCCTGTGCTGCCTGGTAAAAGCTCCAGGTTCCCCTACAACCTTGACGAAAATAAATGGCTGGAAGATGTGTGGATGGATTCACTGCCTCTAGGCTCCAGCTAATGGGTGTAAACGTTTACTTACACCCACAATTTGATAAGCAGATTAGTAGTACCGTACACCTAAAATATTGAGGCGCTTGATGCCCAAAAGTTAGTAATCTGTATAAATTTGGTGTATCCTTATGTTTAATAAATGTGTCAGACATTAAACTGCAAATTGTATCGCTACAGCACTGACGTATTTTTTGCCATGTTTACTGACAATATCTCGTCTTTCAAAAGATATTATGGCTGCTGAGCTGTCCCTTTCTTCATCGCCACTTCAGTGCTTATTGCTTCCATGCTATACCAAACAGTAGCATTTGGTGTGCTCTGCTAACCAAATTTAATAAACCTAAGAATACGCCGAAATTATACAGATTACTAACTTTTGAGCATCACCATATGCCTCTCATTAATATTTTAACTGCACTACTAACATGCTTATCAGATTGCAGGCGTAAGTAAATGCCCGTTTGGTACCGAAAAGCCATCCAGACAAACTTTTACATTTTGCCTGTGCTCATATCTCCATTATATCTGTGTGATATGGTGCAGCCCTAATGTCATTGTATCAAGGTGTGAATAACATATAACTGGTCAAGTGGGTGTGCTGCATCCTTACAGTACACTACATTCTGTTTTTATCCCCTCTCTAGGCACACTCAGTGTTTTCTCCATACTTACAGTACCTTATTGTAAAACATCAGTTAACATTGGCCAGTTTATTAAGCACACCCGTTCGTTAGCACAAATAGCTTGTTCCTCCAAACAGAGAATCATGTCGCTGCAACTGCATACATACAGCACAGACATGGGCCAGCAGTTCAGTTAGGTGCATTAGAATGATTAAGATGTGTATTATGAGCAATTTTTATGCAGTGTAATTGGTGGTGTGAGGCAAGGTATTTCTAGCATCTGACACCGATACAGATTTATCTGGAGATTCTGCTTAAAAATAAATTTTAAAATAAACTACATTCCAAAAATATGAAAAAGAAGAAAACACCAACTCTCAACACTCAGCACTATATTTTATAGCTGTTTACATATATTTATAACATTTATAGCAGAAGGGCTGATCATCAAGTGTAATAAACTCCGTGATTTTCTGAGTAATATATTTTGATTTTGCAGTATCTGCACTGAATTGTCTTTTGCTATCAAATGACTGCCTTACTGAGGACTAGCATTATACGACAGTACTACAGTTTTCTTCATTGGGATGGATTGTTTTTCAGAAACTCTTCATATGCTTCACTGTCTCGCCTTAAGGTGAGCAATCAAGTGTCTTGTGTTGAAATGTTTATTAGTAGATCGTCCTCATAAAATTTCAGCAGAGCAATGTTTGCAAAATGCATTTCTAATGTCATTTTCCCCAACATTAAAATAATTGCTCACAGCAGATATTTTTGTGACTGTTTAGTACACAGGTGTGCAAAGCAGTACGGATCACCTTTTAAATGGAATTATTGGCGGAAAGATCAGCTCATTTTTAACTTTCAGCAAATGGCTGTTCGGTGCTGGCAGCCGATACCTATAGTTGGCCGATGCAAATCGGTGCATCTCTAATTTTCAAACAATACTGCACCTAGAGTACAGAGATTAGTGCAATAGGGAAAAACCATTCAGTGAGACTCAGTGCTGTAAACAAAACCAGCTTGTTATTCATTACTTACTCATTAAAGCTAAGAGGAAGGCCACAAGTGCAAAAAATAACAGAGGAAAAACTTCTCTGAATGCACAATCCAACCACAAAAGCAGTACCTAATAAAAAAGCCAGAGTGTACATCACCAATCAGAATAAGCATAATGCAGTGGCAAGAATTGAGAGAAGTACGAATTTATTTATTTTTTTTATAAAAAAAGGTGAATTCAAGCGTGGCTTATATTTCTAAGCATTACCCACGCTCTTATGAATCTCAGATCAAAAAATAAATAAATTGTGGCGGGCAGCAATCCTGGAGGTGAAAAGAAAGGCTCAGGAAAACGTGCCATCAAACCTGAGAGCTGCTTGAAATTCCTCACACTGATTGCAATCAGAGCTCCGCATCATGCATTGCCAAGCACCACATTCAAGCCTAAAACGGTAAGCTCACTCTCCTGCCATTGTATCTGCTGTCATCTCACCATGCTAACCAACCAGAATGAACACAAAAACCTGTTCCATATGAGCTGTTTTTGTATCATCAGCAGGAGGAGGGAAGCCATCAACGCTTAGTGGAGGCAGGCTTGCTAAAACCACCAGCTCCTGAAATACAAGCAACACAAAGACCCCGTCTCACACTTTCCCACCTAACAGCTGGAGGTTTTATTAGGTGTTCAGGTAGCTTCTGTTCCAGAGCTCTTAATTAATGTCACACAATGTTGTCTAAATGGTTCTGCTGCGCCTCACCCTCATCCCCGAGTGTTGTTCCCCATGATTCCTAGGAAACTGCGCACAGCTCTGCCGAAACCCCAATACTAACGGAGTATGGGAACAATCATCCAAAAATATACATAATGCAGATTATTAAGAACATAAGAAATTTACAAACGAGAGGAGGCCATTCGGCCCATCAAGCTCGTTTGGGGAGAACTTAACTAATAGCTCAGAGTTGTTAAAATCTTATCTAGCTCTGATTTAAAGGAACCCATGGTTTTAGCTTCCGCTACACTAGCAGGAAGACTATTCCATACTCTAACTACACGCTGTGTAAAGAAGTGCTTCCTCAAATTTGTTTTAAAATGTTCTCCCGCTAATTTCCACTTACCACGAGTTCTAGTATTTAGACTAATATTGAAATAGTCATTTGGCTGAACAGCATCCAGACCCGTTAGAATCTATAGAAGTATAGAAGTAAT